TAGAATTCTCACCTTCCATGTGGGACACCCAGGCTGGAGACCTGAGTTTGATTCCCAGACAACACACCTCATGTGCAGCCACCACCCATCTATCTGTGGAAGCTTGCAAGTTACTACGATGCTGAACAGGTTTCAGCAGAGCTTCCAGACTAAGATGGACTAGGAAGAAAGGCCTGGTGATCTGCTTCTGAAAATCAGCCAGTGAAAACGCTATGAATCACAATGGCCCAATCCCCAACCCATCATAGGTTGGGCAGTTTTTCATTCCATTGTGCATGGGGTCCTTATGAATTGGGGACCGACTCAGTAGTATCTAACAACAGCAAACTTAGTGCTCTTGTCAACTCTATCCCTATCTTGGCTTCTTTTTCATCGCACTGTGGGGTGTGGCATGTAGTGTGCTAGTAAACCAGCTCTAGGGGAAGGACAACTCTGATTCATAGCATGTTCTGATTTCCCTGATATGAATATTCCCATCAAGGTTGATTTTAAGCTATCAATCTTTTAAGAACAGGTTTGCAAAATCCCTGGATATTTAATGATTGGCACTTGCTGTACATGACTAGCCGGCTCCAGCAGATCCAGGGGAGTATTTTCTCAATCATTCCTGAGAGCCAATTGTGGCAACTTGGCATTAGAGATAGGCTAGAGGGAGGTTTCTTTTTCTTTTTTTAATTGTGTTAAAAATATATGTATGTGACAAAACATTTGTCATTTTAATATTTGTATGTGTTAAATAGTGACATTAATAATGTTCCACAATGTTATACAAGAATCACCACTATCTGTTTTCAAATTTTTTCATCACCCTTAACAGAAACTCAAAGTCCCTTAAGCAATAAGTCTAGGGGGAGGTATTTTTATGAGGTTGTCTTAGTATTTCTTCAAATCACATTGTACATAATCGTATAAATGTGTATTATGTGAATAGATACATGCATATATTTATATATAAGTATGGAGTCTATGGGTGGCGCAAATGGTTAAAATGCTTGGCTGCTAACTGGAAGTTCAGAGAGAGGACTGGCGATCTTCTTCCAAAAAATCATCCATTGCAAACCCTATAGAACACAATTCTACACTGACACACATGGGGTCACCATGAATTGGAGTCAACTCAATGGCAACTGGTTACTGGTCATATAAAAGTATGTACACACACACACACACACACACACACACACGCACATTTACATATGTAATATATACACCACCTAATGGTTGATGAATAGAACTGCCCTTGACATTCTGTTACTCTTCAGAGTGTTCAAGTGATACTTCCTGGAGAATGAGGAAATGTTCGTTTACATTAAATTTATGATATTTACATAATACTGTTTCTTATCAACAATGTGCAACCAACTTCTGAATAGTTAAGTAACTGGGTAAAAACTATTTCTGGCCAACAGCAGTCAATGTAAGTAAATTGGTTTAGGCACTTTTGCACTCAACAAATTTAGCATTGAACAAATACTTCTAGAATACCTACCAAGTGACAGGCACCAGGACCGACACTGTGGATGAAAAGTGCTCTGACTTCATAGAGCTTACCTTGGTAGGAAGACAGAGGAGCAAAGCATTCCAATGTAATAAGAAAATTGCTATGACTGTCTTATGTACAACGGGCAGTGGAAGCAGAGAAGATTATGCCTTTCTTTACAAGTCAGTTTTTTTTTTTTTTAATTTATAAATATTTGGTGTCCCAAACTAGATTTGAACCCTTGAAGAGAAAAAAATTGAGTCTTTTATACTTTCATACCCCACATTAGCATTTAGGAAGTCATCTGCCTGTAACCCAGCTCTAAGTCCTGAGGCAGTTATTTCTGTGTTGCATAAGGAACTATACTGATATGCCTCCCAGAAGTACTCTAACGATAAGCTCATAGAAAGGAGGCCAAAGTGTTTTGTCAGTAAAAAGTTTAAGAGATGCTTAAAAGAGCTACACAGACGCTTGACCACAATCCCGATGAATTAAAAAAAAAAGAAAAAAATTCAGATGAGCACAAGGATTCCAGGACAGCTTTCAGATCGCAGCAGCGCTCTGGTCTGAGAAACTATGTAAACCAACATTAACCAGGGCCCACCAGGCAGCCTTGGGGCAAACACTGGGAAACTAGGATGGCGGAAGGATGTCCTGCTCCTAGGTAAAGAGAGTGAGGAGGCTCTGGCAACCTCACTTCAGGCATGTTGGAGTACTGAAAATCAAGGCACCTGGGTACCTGAACAGTGCCTTGCGGTAGAGGGGCAAGAGGTTTGCCTTGCAGGCAATTGCCGAAAAGACAAACAAGGACTCAAAGATATGACCATCCAGAACAATTGGGGATGTGGCTAATTCCGTTTAGCGGTCGTCTTTCCCAAATTTAAGTTTCACTTCTGCTAATTCCCACATAAGCCCAGCGGCGTCACTTAAGTTTTGTGATACCCAGCGTGGTAACTCATCATGTCGTCATCCCGCCCCCCCATGGGTGGAGCCAGTTGGCGAACGCCCGTGATGGACAGAGAGGCCTGGCTCCCTCCACCCTTGTGCACAGAGAGCGGCCCCGCCCCTCATAGCCCCACCCTGCTTGCATCTGGCAGCTCCTCCCTTCTCCCATTGGCCAAGGCGGAGACCATGCTCTTCGCCCAATGGAGGGCGCGGTGGCCTAGCCACCCGCACCCTGACTGGCAGGTGGGGGTGGGGGGCTGCGTGACGAGTTATCATACTGGCTAACGGGTGACACGAAGCCTAGTGACGCCACTGCTTTGACGGTCCCTCCCCCAATGGCACCAGCCCACCCACCGCTGCTGTTGCTGCTGCCATGGACCCTAGGGTCATTTCGGTGTCACACCCTGACAGTAGGCATCCCCCCACCCCCTAGTGACTCCACTGCACAAGCCTACAGCGTGTTATTACAGAACCTTGGTGGAAGATGCCTGGATTAGATGGGATTGTTAACGGTGTTGAGTAAAAGGGAGGTGATATCACTAGTATAAAACACACTGCAACTCTCAACCTCAAAAACCTGTCCTGGCATCTGCTTTCTTTCTTAATTGTTTTTTTAAAATCGTTTAATTGCTTTCGTGAATCTCGTAATAAATACATACATAATAATCCATTAAAAATACATACTTATGAATCACATTTGTAAAGTGATATACGCTTATCCTCATGGATCTGTATTTCATTTCAGTAGACCTTCTGTGGATTCTTTGCCTCAGATTTCTTTAAATTATGAAAAAAGTTGTATTGTTTTCTGTGACTCAAAATTGCTGTCCTTTTCTTTGATTGCCCAACATTCACTTTTCAGCACTCTGTATTGTAGTTTCCTATTCACTTGTCTAAATCTTCCACAAGACTGAATTTCTTGAGGACAAGAAGTATCTCTTATTCACTATCCTATTTCCAGTTTGGCACATATACAGTTGTTACTGTTAGGTGCCGTCAAGTCGATTCCGATTCATAGCAACCCTATGTACAACAGAACACGACACTTGCCTGGTCCTACACCGTTCTCACAATCGTTGTGCTTGAGCCCATTGTTGCAGCCACTGTGTCAATCCATCTCCTTGAGGGTTTTCTTCTTTTTTGCTGATCCTCTGCTTTACCAAGCATGATGTCCTCCTCCAGGGACTGATCCCTTCAGATAACATGTCCAAAGTATGTGAGACACAGTCTCGCCATCCTTGCTTCTAAGGAGCATTCTGGTTGTACTTCTTCCAAGACAGATTTGTTAGTTCTTTCGGCAATCCATGGTGTATTCATATTCTTCACCAACACTACAGTTCAAAGGCATCAATTCTTCTTTGCTCTTCCTTATTCATCGTTCAGGTTTCGTATGCATATGAGGCGATTGAAAACACCATAGTCTGGGTAAGGCGCACCTTAGTCTTCAAGATGACATCTTTGCTTTTTAACACTTTAATGAGGTCTTTTGCAGCAGATTTTGCCTAATACAACGCATCCTTTGATTTCTTGACTTCTGCTTCCATGGGTGTTGATTGTGGATCCAATTAAAATGAAATCCTTGACAACTTGAATCTTTTCTCCTTTTATCATGAAGTTGCTTATTGGTCCATTTGTGAGGCACACAGCAGATACTAAAGTTTTGGTTGAATCAATGAATAAATGGATACTATGCTTACTATAGAAACCCTGGCGGCATAATGGTTAGGAGAGCCACTGCTAAACAAAAGGTCGGCAGTTCTAATTCACCAGCTCCTTGGAAACCCTATGGGGCGGTTCTACTCTGTCCTGTAGGGTTGCTATGAGTTGGAATCAACTTGAGGACACAGGAGTTTTGTTTTGTTTTTTTTTTGTGGGGGGAGAGGGGGTTTATGTTTACTATGATAAAGGTAGGTTTGGGGCTTGTAATAAGATTCTTACCTAAGCCCAGATGACATCTGACCCTAATTGCTTTTCACATGAAGGAGTTCTTGCCCTCCTCAGTTATGTTCATAGTCACTGAATTCTGTCCCTGCCACCAGAGATGCTCAATATGCAGATGGCTTTTTTTTTTTTTTTGCTTTCTGGACGACTAGCTTGCACTGATGTAAATTCTAGTCTCTTTATGTCATTTCCAAAGGATAGGGGAAGACCTTAGGATGGTTTTTCAGAAGGAGATGAAGAAATCAAGCTGTTTCTTCTCAGCCCTCTGTCCCATCAGATTTGGGTTGTATCCAACACCACCTAGCTGGGTCACAAGCTTCAAGCTTCCTCTGCCAAGAGCAAAAGCTAGCTATGCAACAGACTAAATTGGAAACTCAGCTTAGAAGGCTCGAGGCGCAACATAAATGCATCTGAGAGCCTGCACAAGTGCAGAATTATTTGCAGCTAGGCCCTGGCTCTCCAAGCTGGCACACGAACAAACAGCTCCTCCTCCCCTGGGCACAGGAAACTTTACAGAGGAGAAAACAGAGCATGTAAATGATAAGTCCCCAGATCTGAGAGATTCATGTTGGGGAATCCATACCTGCCATTCCAATGATGAACAGAAACAAGGAGGAGGAGGTGGTGTGTTTCTGTATCTCTGTGGACCAGTTGGTGAGAGTCAGGAAGCACTCGCTGGGCTGGTTGCAGGCAACTGGGGAGAAGTTGTATCTACGTTTGTAATCATTAGTCTTTTTCCAACGTCACGTGACTTGACTATCTGTGGAATCTGAGTAGGAGAGGAGATGAGGAAGGAGAGGAAAATGTTAGGAAAACTTGTGGTTGTTACACACTGCTTCAAAGAGACTGTATGTTATTTGAGCAAAATTTACTTCAGATTAAGTCCAACCCTCCTTTTCCACCCACTCCTCCTGAGAAGTTTCCAAATGTTACCCAGCACTGCTGACCTATTAGCATGATTCTTTAAGGTTTGATTTTAGTCTTCACAGAGAAAGGAGATGTTCTTCTCCAAGTAACGTCTTTAAATTTGGAAGAATTTCTGACCCAGAAATTTATTTTCCACAAGAAAAGAAAGAAGAGAAGCAACCCTCAAAGGGCCTGGAGAGCATATTTGGAGATGTTGTTAGGACAAGGCAGATATCCACTTCCCTTCCATTGAAGAGCAGTCCTCTCAGAGGGAGGGTACGGCCTGAGGCGGACTCACTGGAGTGTTGAAAGAGGGAGGGAGCACACATCTGAGAGGGCATATTCCCCATGAGACAAATTGGGGTGACTGATGTCACCATTGGAGTATGTCAACACTATCTCAGTTTTGTCTTTACAATCTGCAAAGCATCTCTGCACAATTCCTTTCCTGTCTCCTTCACACAGCTGAGAGGGGGGCCAGCTTCCTCCTCTCTGCCTCCAGAGCATGGAGTTTGTCTTAGTTACCTAGTGCTGCCATAACAGAAATACCACAAGGGAGTGGCTTTAAAGAACAGATACTTATTTTCTCTCAATCTTGGAGGTTAAAAGTCTAAATCAGGGTCTGGGCCAGTTGATTCCTTCTGGGGGTGGGGGGTCTCTGCTGGCTTCTAGTGACTGCTTGCCATCCATGGCGTTCATTCCTTTGCTACATTTAGATGCATCTGTGACTTCTTCCCGTGTGTGTGTGTGTGTGTGTGTGTGTGTGTGTGTGTGTGTATGTATGTATTTTCACCCCTAGTTTCCGGAGGGAGATCTATAAATAAGGGCCAGTGGACGAGAAACCCAAGGCCCACTGTATCTTTGGGCAGCTCTGATAGACTGCAAACGTCAGCAGGGCCTCTTCCTCTCGCAAACTTAACCCAAGCCTGACTCTCAACCAGGAATGAACTTTGAGAGAAGAGCTCATTCCTATGAGGGGAAGAGGAAGGAGGGAACAAGAGGCTGAGCTCCAGCCTGGCAGGCTCTGCCTTTCTCTCAAAGCAGCCAAAAGGAGGCAGGAGAGCACAGTGTGAGAAGCAAGCAGAACAGGCTGTGCTCACAGCTTCAGTGGCAGAAAAACAGCAAGAATCAGGCTGACCTTCCCTAAGGCAACATTTAAAGTGCAGTGCCCCACTCTTGGGCATATGGAGCCCAATCAGTCCCTGGAATCTGCTTCATCCTCTCCAGGAAGAATGTGTAGGTAATACAGAGGCATAACTAAGGGATGGCAGATAAGGCATACGCCCTGGGTGTCACTTGAGTAAGGAGGGGCGCTAATGAGTAGTTTCTATTGGCCATTGCAGTTTCTATTGCCAGGTGTGAGAGAACGTTCAGCAACTTAGAACTAATTGCCATAGGTGCTATTTTCTGTAGATAGGCCCCTGTAGGTAAGGGGGTGGAGAAGTGGGCTTCCTGTCTTCTCTGTTGGTGTATCTGCCCTCTCCCTGACTGGCCTGTGAGCTGTCTGATGACGGACACCCAGTACATCACCTGTCCTAACTCAATGTGGGGTGGAATAGGCTCTGGAGAGATTTGTTGCTATAAGAGGAAATGAGGACTTAGACGTATCAAGCGACTTGCTCAAATTCCTGGCTTGTTGGTGGCAATGCTAGGACTTGAACTCCAGTTTTTAAATTCTGTGTGATTTCTTTTAGGTCCCTGGGTGTCACAAACAGTTACTACTAACTGAAAGGTTGATGGTTCTAACTCACCCAGGAGCACTGCGGAAGAAAAGCCTGGTGATCTGCTTCTGTAAAGATTGTTGTTGTTGTTAGTTGTTGTGGAGTCGATTCTGACTCATGGTGATTCTATGTGTTAGAGTAGAATTGATTCGTAAGTTTTTCTTGGCTGTAATCTTAAGGGAAGCAGATGGCCAGGCCTATCTTCTGAGCTACCTCTGGGTGAGTTCAAACTGCCAACCTTTAGTTAGCAGTCCAGCGCAAACCATTTGGGCCACCTAGGGAGCCCAAAAAAACCCTATGAGCACAGTTCTACTCTATAGTACATGGGGTCACTGTGAGTTGGAATTGACTCCACAGCAACAAGTTTGTTGTTTTTGTGTTATGTGTGTGTGTGTGACTTCCTTTCTGTCATGTTGCTCTGCCATATTGTTACCAAACCCTAGAAGGTGGGTCCTTGTCTGGCGTGCTCAGACTTGCCAATTATCTGGACACCGGTCTTTGACAAAGAGAAAGTAACTTTGTTGCAATGCGCAGAGCAAGGAGCTAGGAGGAAGTTCCTCAAATCCGACTCCCTGAGCTACAGGGAAGCAGGGCTTTATATGTGATTTGGGCAGCAAGATGGCGGCCTGGCAGGCATACTGGGGAGGGAAGATTCTAGAAGGCGGTCAGGAAACAGGAAGTGACGTGATTCTTGTCGGATCTCTCACTAGGGATACAGTCCGAGTGATGATTTTCCTTCTGATTTGTTCCTCCTGTTGCTGTGCCCTCTGTTGAGGTTAATTATCGGTCAAGCCTGGCCCTTCTGCACGTGTGGGGTGGGCTAAATCTGGCTTGGGCTAGTTTAAGGACTAATGGAAATTTACTGGTATTTGTAGGGTCAAGTTACAATATGACATCTCTCTAGTGCAGACATTTGTCACCTGAGCTTCATGAGTCCAGTGAACCTCTTAGAGTTGAGTGCAAACTTTTGGGTGGATGCCTGTTCTAGAAAGAGGCACCATGGTATTCAATAGATTTATAGAGGGGTTTGTGCCCTAAAAAAGAGCATTCAGGAACACGCAGCACCATCAACTCTAAATAACATGCTCAGCGCCTGGCAGGTGCGGGCACTCACTTTGTGTCAATCTCCTTCGCCTTTCCTGAGAGTGACTCAGCAAACAGGTAGCGTTCCGACCACCTCCACTGCTCACATCGCCCTCATCTTCGGGGCATGTCTTGCTTGTAATTTCAAATTAGAAAGAGAATTGGCTCACCAAGGAGTGGGTTTCTCCCTAACCTGAAAAAAATAAAGGAAATCACTTTTCAGCCCCAAATACCTCTGTCAAGTGCAAACAACATGGGAACACCATGAAGACACACAGATGGACACACAGATGCTTCCAGATGCTAACGTACACTAATAACAAGGTTATTTTGGAGGATCGAAACCTCGAAATAGTCAGATTAAAGGCTCCAGTACATCACTAAAGCTGAGCTGCAGAAACAAACAAAAGAACTAGCAATGTTAGAATTATGCCCAACAGGAGTTTTTTTTTCCCCCCCCAATTTTTTCTACTGTTTTTGGTGGCGATCAGGGAAGGGGGTTGGAGGTACTGGGGTAGGGAGGGAGACTTTCAATGATGTAGTAACTTTTTTATATTATTACTTGGAACCTGTGTTAGTCAGGATAGGGTTGATTCAACTGTAATGAGTCATCCCAATATCTCAGGGGCCTAAAGCCATAAGCCTTTATTGTCGCTCATACTGCATGTCCGCCCCAGGTTGACAGGGGCCTCTGCTTAGCATAATTACTAAAGGACCCAGGCAGATGGAGGTGCCATAATTTTATGACACCACTGGCTTAACACAAAGTTTCAGAGGTGACTGGGCAAGGGCAGCCCAGAAGTGACACTCGTCATTTCTACTCATATTCCATTGGCAACAGCAAGTTACATGGGAAGAGAGATACACACTCCTCCTGGAACCCGCGAGTGAGCCCTTGGGTGATTTTAATCCCCGAATCCTCTCTCAGGCATCCTATTCCTGAAACGAGTTTAGAACAAATCACGTGGGACAGAAAGAAAAACAAATGTTTCAGTGTCTCAGTTAAATCACTAGTTTGTATGTGACCTGGAATTGAATAACTATATTTATAGCAGAGTTAAAAATGCCTCTACAAAGGACTCAAATACAAGACCCGTGGAAAGAATATGTTTCTTTGGGAAAAATTTATCAACACAGGTATCTTGAACTATCAGGAATATAACATATGAAAAGCCCACTGGCAACAGCTCATCTAAAGTAGTTGCTTGTTGCTGTCGTTGTTCGGTGCCATCAGGTGGGTTCTCACTCATAGCCACCCTACGGGACAGAGTACAACTGCCCCATAGAGTTTCCAAGGAGTGGCTGGTGGATTTGAACTGAATAAAAAATTAAAAATGTTCATGCTATAGTTGTCTCAGGAGAATGTATGTCCACATAATCCACAGTGCAGAATTCCTGAAGAATTTTTTTTGGTGTGAAGGAATTGCTTTAGGTCTGAAGTGTAGTTATTCTGTTAAATGGATTACTTTAACACGTGGGTCACTTTTCCAAATCGGTGAGCCCCTTTAAATCTTCAGGGGGCTCACTAAACACAGCCGGGGCAAAGGTCATGCTACCACTGTCACAATGCACTATAAAAGGCAGATGATAACAAGTCAGCAATAAAAACTATTTATTTTGAGCCTACATGACTAGTACAGTTCTTATCATTTCAGCTGTACTAACTCATTTATTCTTGACAACAACCCCGTGATGCAGTTATTCTTATCTTCATTGCACAGACGAAGAAACAGAATCCTTGAAATCTGTGTCCAAGATCACATAGCTGATGAGGGATTGAGCCAGCAATAAAACCCAGCCTAGCTGGTGACAAAGCTCTATGTTGTCACTTAGTCCCAGCATGGTGTGTCAAGGTTGCGCATGAACACAGAAAACAACAAGCATCAAAGCAGGGGGCCTAACCAAGGACTAGCCCAATGTGGCTGGATCAGCCAGGCAGGTGTTAAAGCTGAAGTGCCAGAACACATGCATTAGTCTGATGGAGGGCTTGGTGAGGAGGGCAGCAATATCAACCACACAATAAGGAATGGAGGGTGCATAGATAAGATAAAGGACAAGCTCAAGCTCAAGGCAAAGACTCAGTGAATCTATGTTTTTGTTTGATTGATTCTTTGCTGGAGAGGTTCTACCCTCCACAGCTACACCATGAGTTAGCCCTTGCAGCGCTCTTTGATGGCAGTTCCAGACCAGGTGCCCATTCTAGGGGGCTGTGAAATTCCACTCTTCACGCTTGCAGGCTCAAATGGACAGCACTGTGGATGGACAAGATCTGCAGATAGTGTGTCCTGATCATGGCTAGGGTGTGAGTCTACTGGCAATAGAACAACCAGTGGATCTGGGTCTTATGTGGCATTTACCAGTTATACCATGACTCTCAGCTGATAGCTGAGTTTTGTGTGGGCAGTCCAAGTCAGCCTGGGAAGGGGTGAGGCCAAGAGAACTCACACTCACGTCAACTACCACACCCACTCCATCCCCACATCAACCTCCACCCCACACATATTCCATCCCTACACCAATCTCCACCCTACACATACTTCATCCCCACACCAACCTCAGCCCTGCACATACACCATCCCCCACTCACCTCCACTGTCACACTCACTCCATCCCCACACCTACCCCCACTCCCAAACCCACTCTATCCCACATTAACCTCTATTCCTCTATCCACTCCATTCCCACACCCTCTCATTCCCCTACTCACTGCACCCCCACCCCGGACTCCATTCCCACACTCACTGGGTTTGAGCTCAGAGCTGAGTCCAGGGCCCGCAGGTAGAAGGTGAACATTTGTTCCTTTTTTGGACATCTGCCTTGTCCTTGCCTCTGCCTTGTCCTTCCCTCTGCCTTCTCCTCCACCTGAACGATGTGTCAAGCACTGCACATCCAATTTTCATTTCATCCTCACAAAAATCCTGTGAAGTGGACATGACCATGCACACATGTAAGTAAGTATGAAAAAGAGGTTAGAAACTTTTAAACTCTAGGTTGTAGCTAGGATGGAAATAATATGAGGAATTTAAATACAAATCAGTATTTCTTCTCACAGCACAAATGGACTTCATTCTGTTAGTATAGTTTATGATCTGGAAGTATTCAAGAATTTCTGAAGGCTACAGGTCATAAAGAGGAGCCAGGTTGGGTTTATTTTTCTGTGGAAATTGTCTAGAAGAGTGTCAGTTGAATGAATGAATGTATGAATTGTCTAGCATAGAGCTGGGCCAAAAATAGTATATGTACTTAAGTATTTCTATTCCTGATTTCTTCACTGAGCTTCAAACACACAGGAGATCCAACTGCCAACCTGAATAACTCACCTTCGAATGCAGACTATGATGCAGACTCCTTACCATGCCTTCCAAGATCCTGCACAGCTGCCTCTTTCACTTCATCTGACATCACCTACCCCCCTGTTGCCTACATTCCACCCATGCTGTTCTTTTCTCTGTTCTTAGAGTATTTCAAGCTTATTCTTACCTAAGTACCATTGCTCTTGCTGTTCCCTCTGCCTGGATTGCACTGACTCCAGAGCTTCACAAAGCTGGCTTCCTCTTTACAAAGCCTAGACTCAAGTGTCACTTCCTCAGGGGGACCTTCTCTGCACCCATCTAAATCGTATCACCCCTGCCTCCGTTACTGTCACATCATCCTACTGTGTTTTCTTCATAGCGTTTACTACTATATAAAATTATCATGCACATTAATTTTCTGTCTCCCAAACCTCCTCCATCCCACCCTCGTTAAAATGTAAGTTTGTTTCCATGTGAGCACGAACTTTGTCTGTATAGTTTAGCACTTGTCTTAGGCTAGGTTCTCTAGAGAAGCAAAGCCAGTGAAGCATCTCTCTCTCTCTGTATGTATACATGAGAGAGACAGAGAGATTTATATTAAGGAAATGGCTTATATGGTTGTAGAGGCTGGAAAGTCCTAAGTCCATGGGTCAGGCTCTTTTGCTGACTCACGTAGCTGCAGGGGCTGGCAAACCCAAGATCGGCAGGTCAGAAAACAGACCTCTGGCTCACAGGCTTCTGTGGCCAACAAATCCCAAAATTGGCAGGTAAGCTGGCAGGCTGTTGGCTCACAGACTGTGGAGTCTGACAAATCCTAAGATCCACAGGTAAGCTGCTAGCTCAAGTCCCCAGAACTGGGAGTCAGATGAACAGGAGCCTGCTGCAGGATTCAGAGCGAGCAAAAGCCCAGAAGCTTTGCCAGAAAGACCACCTATATAGGATGTGGGCTACACCCCCAAGGAAATTCCCTTTCAACTGATTGGCTACTCATGGCAGACCCTATCATGGAGGTGATCACATTATATGAGATCTCATCATGGAAGTGATTACATCATTATAGGACTGTCAAACATCCTAACATCATAACTGCCAAACCAATGAGAATCATGGCTCTGCCAAGTTGGCACACAACCATAGCAATCACAGCACTGTATCCTTAATGTCTAGAACAGTGCCAGGCCTATAATAAGTGATCAATAAATATTTGTTGAATAAATAAACTATTGTTGAGTTAATTAGAACTGTATGTATTATCCCCATTTAACTGATGGAGGAACTAAGGCTTATGGAGTTTAAGTAATTTGCCCAAATACATACAGTGAATAAGTGACAGAGCCTGGATTCACATCTGGGTCTTGACAACCCCTGGGGACCCAAATAAAAAGGAACTGGACTTCATAGGAGGGAAAACCAGTAACTTGGAGAGTTGTGGTAATAGGCAGAACACTGTCACTTGGTGAGACTGGATTTGATGACTGGAGAAACGATCATTAAGGACTTGGGGTTTAGACAGGTACCAGTTACGTACCAGGTGGGAAGTTCAGAGATCTAGTGATCATTCTGGAAAACCCGATGTTGAGAAAGCAGGGCTCCAAGGTAGAGGCAGGACTTGCAGCAAGTCTAACTGACTAATAATTAAGTCATCTCCTGCTCCCACAGGAATCTTTATGTACTTTATGTACTTCCTGACCTAGTTTCACGGTGGCTCCAAGTGGAAGAAAGTAAGGCTGGCCACCAGAGTGGACGAATATAGAGTTGTAGCACCTGACATTTCCTAAAGCCTGGGTAACACCTTGTACCTCCTTGGCTGGATTTACGGTACTTATTTTCTTCCCCCTGATTGAAAGCCCTCCTGGTGTCATCCTACCAGGCCATTTTTGCTCAGCTATGTCCCAGCCTTGTGTCTCCCATTGCAATCTGTGTCTTGGCATGATACACAGAAAAGTCAACATGTATTAAAATAGCCCCCTTAGTAAATAGTTTGCTGCTTAAGAGGCCAAGTGAAATCAGAACTAAATATCATCTATCTGCTTAGTTCACGAGTTTAACCTTATAATCTCTTACGAGGAACAAATCGAGAGAGACAGAGATACATCAGTTTAAAAGAGTCTTATTTGTCTTGTTCATGGTGCTCAACAGTTTCTTGGGTATACATACTAAGGATACTGAGTTTAAGTTTCCACAATAGTTAGATGAAGCAATAAGTTCTCATCTGTTTAATAACAGTCCTACATTTGTCAGGTTTGCCGACAAATATAATGTGTAAATTCTCTTCTCTAGAGACTGCACGATTGTACTCATTGTCTCATGGTCCGTGGGCTGGCTAATGGCTGTTAATGAGTCAGCTACTGAGTGACTCAGTACTTCTTTGAATAACAGAGTCAATCCATTTCCTCCCTGAATCTGATGTAGGAAAATGATGTCTTCCTTCATAAGTACCGTCCCTTTTGACCCCTGCCAAGACCTCATGACCTAATGCATTTGTGTAAAGCTTGCCATATTCAAAGATCTACTTTGACAGCTATTATGAAACCAAAAAGTATATTTACAATTTTTGTAGTTTTACTTTTCTTCTCCCTCACTTCAGAATGTTCACACTTGGATTTTCGATAGTAAACTTGAAAGTCTTATTTTTCTGCTTACGTAAAATGTGCTATTGTTTGTCGTATACTAAGAGATCTGTAAGGCTGAAGAGTTGGTAAGAGTGATGGAGGAGGGCCCTTTGGTGAGTCAGGGTGCTGGCTGTGCACAAGTGCACAGTCGGCTCTAGTGGTGAGATAGAAGATTAGTAAGAGCGAAACTATCAGCTGGGGGCTATGATGGTTCGGTGGTAGAATTTTCACCTTCCTTGTGGGGTAGCCAGGTTCAATTCCCGGCCAATGTACTTCACGTGCAGCTACCACCCATCTGTCAGTAGAGGTTTGCATGTTGCTGTGATGCTGAACAGGTTTCAGTGGAGCTGCCAGACTAAGGTAGACTAGGAAGAACGACCTGGAGATCTACTTCTGAAAATCAGCCGTTGAAAACCTTATGAATCCCAACAGTCTGATCTGCAACGGATCGTGGGGATGGTGCAGGACCAGGCAACGTTTCATTCCCCATGACTCAGGGGTTGATTTGATGGTAGCTAACAACAACAACAAACTATCAGCTAGCACTTGTTCTCACAATGTAATGGGACTTGGCAATCTAAATGTGCTCATCTCAAAGAAAACTCAATATCATATACACAAATGTAAATTTCATATCGCAAATAAGATGCCTCACATTATAAAAAGTATTCACTAGAGACAGTACCTTTAACAAGCATCAAACATCATTGGAAATATGAATCAAATCATGTATTTCTCAGGATCAATCAAGAATAGGAAATGGAAACAGACAATAAAACGGGGGCAGATGGCCTGAGGCAGGTATCAAGGTCCACGTTTAGAATCAGGAGGAAAAAGGTAAAGAAGACACGAACTCAATTAATCTTGGGGTACGTGGGCATCTGAACCAAACTCAGTACGTAGTGACGAAAATCAGTGATCCAGAGGTTAGCTGTCTCGGAACCAACAAGGACCATGGGCTCCTCTTCCTTCTGTTCTGAAGGACTCTATTCTGAGTGCTGGCCACATATTTTTTAGAGGCAGGTGCACCTTCAGATTTTCTACCTTCACAGGCAGAGTCCAGACCCACCAGTAGTCATACTTTTTGTTATGGGGCACTTTTGAAACATAGAACCATATTTACTCCTGCGGAACAATAATCTCATCTTTTTCTTTTTTCTTTTGGGACAATACTGTCAATGCTGTCTCAGGGTGGCATCTTCTCAATAGCTTGCACACTCCCAGGTACCCTAGCAGCAACCAGAACCCATCCTTTTTTCTCCTATTCAAGAAATATTGGAACAAATGATTTCTAATTAAATAAAATTATTTAAAATCTTTAGTACTTTCACAATTATTAGTAACAAATTACTTGTAAAGCACTGTGATGTGTCATAATAATTGATGTGGAGAGCTACTCTTCTGAAGAAAAAAAAAGG